CAGCAGCCTTATGGTACGATAAAGGAAAGCAGTTTAATGCAGACCAAAAAGTAGCACCTTGGACAGCTCCAGTGAATATTCAAGTCTGTGAGATTGTGGCTTCAGCAACTGATGATTTCCAGCAGCTACAGAGATTCAGCTACGTCTAGGTAGCTACTCCATGTCCCACTAAGAGAAGCTGCTTCAGGTTAAGGGGTGTATCCTGTTCAATAGCCACTTCTTCTGAGAGAGCAAAGGAGTCAATTGTTCTACTCTTGAATTCTGGACTAGTATCCTCGTAGTCAAACGATGGCAGTCTGTCCTGTTCATACCAAAGGAGTACTAACCCGTTGGGCTTTTTTCCTGCAGAATGGATTCTTTTGTGGGCATTCCTTCCAGTTTGAGATTTCCTAGAAACCATGTTCTTGCCTATCCCTCATGGAAAACCAGATCATGGATCCATAAATGAAAAAAAAAAAGATAATATATCAGTAATGAAGCAAAAAGGTAAACACCAAAGACAATTAAACATTTCTAGCAACCAGTACTAAGTCTACAACAAAGCCAATGTGGTATAGCAATTAAGATGTTGGACTAGGATGAGAAAGACTGAGTTTCAACCCCATCTTCAGTTTAGAAACTCATTAAATTACTTTGGGCTAGTGATTCCCAGCCTAAAGTCTTCTTAGGATTGTTGTTGTGAGGAAAAATTGGAGGAGGAAACACTATGTATGCCACCTCAAGCTCCTGGAGGAAATGTGGGATATAAATCTAGAAAGTGAGCTTCAAATCAGTCTATAGGTACGCTGACATTTTTCACAATTCACACAATTCATTTTTAAAAGGATAAAAGAATAAAAAGGCCTATTCAGAGCCATTCACACCTCTGAACAAAATGGGACAATGAGCAAATTAGCCACAGAGGAAGAGGGGGTAGATGCATGAAGAAGAAGGAGGTGGCCCTTCTGGTGTTCCTGTCCTGAATTATGTTGCCATGTTATATCTAATAACGAATTGCACTCCAAAGTTAACTGGAAGCAGTGGAGTTTGGACCAAACTAGAAATAAATGATTTATCCAAATCACAGCTGGTATTCTTGTTTTTACAACACATAAGGTATATTGCAATTTGCCAGGGGCTGTTGATTTCTGCAATAACTGCTTCCAGTGATGTAGACATCTATGTTAGTGGTCATGTTTACATCCATATACAGACAGTTGAAGCTCTGCAAAAGTTCTTCTGGATGTCCAGACTATACTGGACCAATATTCTTCAGTCCTTCATGAGCAATGAACATTTATACTCTGGTTTTTGTTCAGATATATAAATATTTTACCCCCACCCCTGTAACAGTGCAACCTTTTCAAAGCTGGTTTCATTTGAGTTGAAACCCTCTTTTAATATTTTTGGTGTTTATATCTGTGTACACACACACACGTGTGACTATCTACTACTCAGAAGGGTTTTTTTAATGTCTTGAATTAGCTGAACAACAGCTATGTTCAGAAGAGAACTGAAATATACAAAGAGTGGCAAGGAGCTGTAAAATCCACAGATGACAGTAAAATCCAAAAATGAAGTCATCAAGGTGTAAAGAGATGGTTAGCCTATCAGCTCTGCAATTTTCCAACTGCAATGTCCTCGTTGATTTGTCGCGAATACTGTTAACCCTGTGTTTGGAAAATGCCAGGGACATGATTGCTTGTGTTCTCATTTGTAATAAAATAGATTAACTTGCTGTGAAATTTTAACTAGACGGAGACACAACAGTAGCTACCTAATGAACCACAGCTCATTGCTGTTAAGTAGCTTAATAGAAGCATACTGATTACACCGCTGAAAAATGGATCTGTTTATGTGCAAAGAAGAGGCCACTAGCATGCATTATAGCAAAAAATAGCCACAACTGCCTTTCATGCTGGAGAGGACCTTACTCTGTACCCAGGATTACCTTACTGTAGCTAGCAGCATCTAAATGACATAGTACAAACATGGTGCTAAGCCACGGGTACATGATTTGCTGAGTAAACCACTGTTGGCAGGTATTAAACATCAGGGTAAGCCATAAACACTGCTTACAAACCACAATGCTGAGTTCACAGCCCACCCCACCAGAAAAGCAGATCATATAAAGGCTTAGCATGATACCTGCACTCAATCAGTACAGAACCAAGATGCTCATGCCACAGGTATCTACCTACATGACTTTCATTCAGTTCAAAGCGCTTCATCAGAGTACATCAGTAATGACTGAAATGTACAGCTTTATCTTGTACCTGAAAATATTACTTTCTGTGGCACAAGGGAATTACGCCTTTAAGGAAGATTGTTAGTCAGCAGATGCTTGTTAGACAACTATTCCTAATAAGACTAATATATGTTATATATATTGACTGTATCCCTTACTGGGAAACGTATTGCTGTTTCATGTGTACTGGTTCCTGTGCATAGTTAGCTCTCTTCCTGTAAATAAAGACTTGTTTGCCACCTGAAGTAACTTGACTGTGGACCTCAGACCTACGGTAGAACCATGGGGTAGTTCTGGGCCAACACATGCTACACCATATTCACATTAGTTTCTTTCTAACAGTGTTTAGATCTGGAGATATCTAGGGAGCCATGGAGATGAGCTTGGAGAAGACATCCAGGAGGTGTTAGAACAACAGCAGGTGCAGAAGAAGCATGCATTAAGCCCAGAGAAGCAGGAAAGTATTAGAAAAAGACTCAGACTGACACCCTGGGGTATAAGAGGGAAGGAAAGGAAAACACAGGCAGACTTGCAAGATTCTGTTGCTCAGTAAAACTTAGTCATAGCTTTCCTGTGGAGTCAGTTTTCTGATCTGGTCCACCTTGTAAGGCTGACAAAGTATAACTCTTATTTGTGTCCTTATTTAAGTTTTTTTTTTAAAAAAAAAACTCCTTTCACCAAAATGTGATCCTACAGATATAGTCATAATAAAACTGAAAACTGTGTTCATTGTTACTAGTAGTTCTGAACCATCACCAGGTTTTTGCTAGTGATACATTGTACAAAATAGAACATTGAGCCTTTCAAATATATCTGATAGATGCAAAGAACCAGCACTCCTTCACTATTCTCTTCAGGTCTACTAATCCAGGGATTATTTTCCTAACAGTAATACCTTTTTGACATTTATTTGGTGTTCCTTTCTTTCTTTTCCCAACACAATTCTCATGTCTGCAGTAATTTCTACCCATGTCCTGAAAAATGACAGAGGTTTGTTTCACATTGCTTTAAATCAAAAATTCCCTCAAGATGTACCAAACTTGAAAGGCCTAGAATAGATTACTATCTGTTTAAGCTTAACAAATATTTTTAATTAGTAGGCTAACAGTACAGCAATTAAAGGTTTCCCTTTTAAGTTTTATTAGTTATTGTATGTTCATTAACTAAGAGATAATTAGTTAAGAAAGCATGTCCATTGAGGATTAACCACTGCATAATAGATACGCATCTGTGATTTTGAGGTTCACTTGGTATTGAATGTCCAATAACCGTCCTATTAAAAACACATTTGAGGCAGTGTTTTCTGCACAATTCATTTAGAACAGATGACACAACATACTCTGATAAACCCTTTGTCATAAAAAACTCTGCACAACATTCAAGAAGCTTTGCTTGAAATAGGAGGCCTAGAAAAACCTTGCTCTGGAGTGCAAAACTCCAAGGAAGGCCTAAAAGCAGAAATCAGAGATTGTTCTGGATTAAATAAGGGGTCAAAGTCAAGTCCACTCTGATGCACCAAAAGTTGAATCTTAGCAGATTTGGGACAATCTTTGGCAGAGTTGCAGTAAGATAACGTCAAGTCACCCTTCTCCAGCCTTGTCTTCCGGATGGGCTTCCGTCTCTTGGTAATTTCAGCAATGAGGAATGTTGCCTGGGGAAAATAGGTATGCATGAAGGGTAGTCAAGGTTAGAAAAGACTAGTTTATACTTTGGATGTAAGGGCTGTACTTCTAAGTGGAGACCTAGTCATCTGCCCCTAAGACCTGTCCTGATGGCACTTTTGTGGACATTGTTACAAACTCATAATCTGAAGCAAGTTGTAGAGGAATGCAAAGATCAAGCTGATGAAGGAATGCAAGAACCATTAGTAGAACTGTTAAAAAAGAATGAAAGTGACAATGTAGACCTGGAAAAGGTGGGTGCAGAAGAAAGAGCCTCAAAATAGCTTCACCTTGATTCTATATAAGAGGGGGTAGAAGGAAACTCAGGCATTCAAGATTTGTTATTATAACCTCCAATAATAAAGTGGAGTTCAGTAGTTCTTGTGTGTGTTTCTTGACCTGGCCTATCTTGAAGGGCTGACACAAGGTTAAACAAAATTAAAGCTGATTTCCTTTCTTGCTTTTGTAGGGAGCAGTTGTCTCATCTAATTTTCTTTATTCCTGCACCCCCAGGGAGTGATTGGGTTGGTCATCCTTAGCTATTGCCTGGTTGCTAATGAACTGCAATATAGAGATGGAAAAAAAATAACCTGTTATCCAACTGTCAAGAAACAATGGCTGTCATTTCAAAAGAGAGCCACCTCACCTACTCTCGCTCTCCTTGTCTCTTGTCTCATACCTTCTTTGGATTTTCTGCCAAGGCCACTCTGGTGGATTATTATTCTGGCATCACAAGTTATCATAGCATGCTCTAAAGGTGCCCTGATCATTCAGGTTGATTGGCAGTGATGACTGTTGGGTGTTCAGGGTGTACAATTCATTTCAGTCTTATTGAAAGTATCAATCCAATGTGATAACCCAAGCCCATTCAGAAAATCAGCCTGATTCTGTTTGGACATCCAAATTGAATTGATTCAATTCAGACTTCTGAATTGGTTTGGGGGAAAAAAACACATGGAAGGGTCCAACTCGCCCAAACTGATGCAAAGGCCTTTTTCATTTTTCAAATTAGTTTGGAAAGTCCATATAGAGAATCGTTTGGATCACCTTCAAATTGAATCCCTAAATAAATACAATCAATTGCTTAAACCCATCTTCTTCTTTCTTTAAAGGAGAGGATTCAAGACAGCCCTTCACCTGCTCCATCTGTAGAAGAGGGCCAACGACCCGGGAGTCATGCCTCTTCACATCAAAGCAGCAGTGTTTCAAGTTCTCCATCCCAAGTTGACAACACACCAGACAGAATTGGTTTGTACTCTTTCACTGTTGACTGTTTTGAACTTAGGAACAGCCCTGTGGAAAATGGGGGAAAGAAATTATTGTGGGCAGTGAACATATATCTGAAAATTATTATAGGCAGGGAGGGGAAGAAGGGGAGAAATGAAACAAACATATATATGCTGGGCTCCGTGTCATGCAATAAATTGCCAGTGGAGTTGAAACCATCCATCTCCGCATTATGGCTTAGGAGGGGATGAAATATGTTTATTTTCCTGGACCTGTTAATGCTGGTGTTTTAGCTTAGTTTTTGGTCTTTAGATCTGTTAAGTTTTAGCATTTAATAGACTTCATTTTTATTCTGTTTTGTAAGGCTGTTCATATTTCATTTTGGAGAACGAAATTTCGCACAATGTCCCATTGAAGTTTTGAATCCAAACCAGGCTGTTTCAAATGGTTTGCAAGCACCTTACGCTTAAGACAGAGGCATTCTACAATACACACAACAGCCTGTTTCACCCTCAAGATTGGAGTTCCATCCTTGAAAAAGGACATTTTATAAAATGTCATACCTGAAATTCTTCAAAATGAAATGTTTTACATACTTCCAGCCTAAAGGAGTGGGCGGCGTATAAGTGAAAGAAAGGAAAACAGTAAGGAAATAGCGTGTGTGGCTATAACATTTCATTGATAATTCGGGTTAAGAAATTAATGATGCTTGCGTAACACCTATTGGGACCTGTCCCAAGGAAACATAGTTAAATCTACTGTGTGCTGAAACTGCACTGGAGTGGAATTAGTGCAAATGTACCAGATGTATGCCAGTATCAGTATACCGATATGATCATATAAAGGCAAAGAACATGCACTGTTTGCCTTAGAAATCAGGTGAGGAACTTGGTATGCCAGCAAGCAATGTGAGCAAAGTGAAAAGTGAGTGCAGGTAGTCCTTGTTTAGCAAGTGCCTTGTTTAGCGACCATTCACAGTTATGACGGTGATGAAAAAGTAACTTAATGACCAATCCTTACATTTACGACCTTCGCCAGTCAGTAAAGCAAAGGAAAGCTGAAGTAAGATCATAAGCACAGTCGCAATTTCACTTAAGTGACCACTTCACTTAATGACTGAGTTGCCAGTCCCAGTGGTGGTCACTAAATGTGGACTACTTGTATGGTTCAAATCTGTGCTTTCTCCTACACACCCATATACGTGTACTCAGTTACCCATGCCTGCATTATGCTTTCTCAAACATATGATTTCATTGAACATCTATCCATACTCTTCCCTTTACAGCATTTTGCCTGTTGGCATGTTCATTCAGTAACTCCTTCCCAGATATTGGGGAAAAGACCACCCAGCCCCATGTCTCCAATTTGCATTAGGATGAGTTGAAAGATCCAGAAAGACTTGTGCTTGTTTAAGAAAGGATGTTATCTTAAATTATGCTAAGCCCCTCTCCCTTCCCAGCAAATGTTAATGAAATTAGCAGCTTTCTGACCCTATTCCCCAAATTACAGAATTATGAAAATGGTGGAAAAAGGTGAAATGGAGAATATTTGGCCATATTTGGCACTGATATTTTAAAATATTTAAATGCCAGCAAATCAGTGTCTGTAATTGATTGTTTATGTCTGTAATCAGAATTGGGTTTAAATAACCTATAAACTGTTAAGAATGCAACATTTTAATCAACAAAGACATAAATCTATCCAAAACTCATGAAGGTACTATATTTGCATGATTTTGCAGGTGTTGTGTTGTTGTTTTCAGAATGTTCTCTCAACAGGACGGATGATCGTTTCTGAGCTCTCATCCATCAGCTCTGATTGTTAACCATCTAGCTAGCTGTATTAAGCAAGAAGAAGAATTACAGAAAATCACCTGTTCTTTTAAACTCTCTGCTCTATTAAAAGCATTTTTCATCCTAAGTAATTTTGATGAATCAGTTTTGTTAATTAGTTCATTTGAACCTTTCGGGGGGAAACCCACAACTTGTCTTCTAGGTTTTCTTTGCATTGTGCTGTCAAACCTGATTATCCCTTGGAGAATTCTCTCAAAGTTCTGCTCCTTTTCAGCTATATGCACATTCTCATTTTATGTAAGGCCAATGCTGGGACTGAACCTCTGGTTCCCCCTTTGACTTCTATGGACTCATTTGCTTCCACTTCTCTGATCTTGTCGGACTTCCCAGGTAGACCAGACAGGAAACACGACCAGATGAACTAATTCTACTTTATTGTAAGGCTACCTTAATAGAATCTTGCAAGCCTGACAGTACAAATCTCCCATCATCTCCTTTACAGCCTGACAAGTTAGGGAATGTCCCTTCTGAGCCTCTTTCTCCATCCATTATGCAGCTGTGGACTATGCCCTCTCTTATCTGACCATTCCCTAGGCAGCATCTCTTCCCCTTATTTCTCAAGGTCTTTCTCACCTACCATTACAGATCTTCTCACAGATGTCGAAGGTCTGAAGGCAGAGCTGATCTCACTAGTGTAGTAGAGTTCTTGAAAGGCTAAATGGTACTTTGGAGTGCATGAGAGCACACATGGAGCACCTCAGCCCTTAAATTAAATGGGGCTTTTCTGGGGATTGCCCTACACCTATGGAGGGAAGCATACAACTTGGGAAAAAGCAAGTGCCTGTTTTAAGGAGCTGCAAACAGGTGCTACATGTATGTACTCATGTATTCCAAAGTACCTTTTTGTCTATAAATCCAAAATACTACACAACCCTATTGTGTAGATTCTGTCATTATAATCAGGAGCTCCATTCATAGGGTATAGATTCCTCCATATGCTCAAAAGTTCTGATTATATATTATGAATTATGTAATATGATCAGAAGTTCCCATTTTGGGGTATAGATTCCTCCATATGAGCAGGAGCTCCAACTATGTGGATGGTCCTATTTGATATGAATGTCTGCTGTTCTTCAAGTTGTGCATTTCAAGCAAATGGAAAAATGCTGGAGACCCACAATTTTCCAACCCGCATAGCCCCATATTGTCCTATAGTAGTTCAACCATACAGGATGTGTTGAAGAAAAGCCATGGTAGGAAAAAGTCTTGAGTTGTCTGTTGCTGTATAGTATGACTGCAGTTTTTTCAGTGACTGTTAATGAAGTCCAGATGGCCCCCATCATTTTGATCTTTCTTATGGTGCTACAAACCTGGTTGTTCACTCAGACATTTGGGCTAGGGTTTAGTTGAGCCCTGTTTGTTGGCTGCTGTTTTTTATTGATTGCAAGATGGAATGATCGATTTGGACCTCTGACCCATGATAAATTGAGTGTGGTTGTAATTTTTTTAATTAATTGAATTGCTTTTTTGATTTTGGTATTAATTTCTTGTTAGCCACCCGGAGTTGCAATAACAAAATTGGCAGCCATGTAAATTGTAAATGAATGAATGAATGACTGGATGTCCTAGTTTATCTTGCTGTGGCATGGTTAGTTAAGTCATGCCATCTATGGAGAGGGGAAACAGAGCACCTGATGTGTAAATTCCTTTTCAAGACTTCTATGCCATTGAGGTCAATTCTGGAGAGGGTTTTGGGCTCTACAGCCATAAACCTTTAGTCGCAAAAGGGTGACATATGTATTATAAATTGCAGTTCCTCTGAAGGAAATGTGGTAAAATATATTTCCAGTCCCTGAACCATTGTCTCAAGCTTAAAGTTTCTGATGTACAGTATGTGCTTAATTAGACTTTTTAAAAAAAATTGTAATACATTTGATGCTTATTTCTCTCCCTCCCCTGCAACCTCCAATTTTCTTTTAGGTATGTTGTCAAATATTAGGGAAGGAGAACTGGTAGATCAAGAACCTGGACCCAACCCAAAAAAACTCTCAAAGGAGAAAGGTAACTCCATCTCTTATTTTTGTCATGCCAAAAGGTTTTTAGAGTTGTTTTGCTGCTATATATCCATATGTTGAAGTCAGAAGGTCTGCTTTCAGAAGTAATTACAGCATTATGTAATTTGAAAATTGGTTTGGATTGGGTGATATTTGCATTCAGCTCCAGTATTTTGCCATATGACTGTGGAGGGGACATCCTTGACCCCTCCCTCAACATTGCCATTGATGTTCCTTCTTCTAAAGGACTTAATCCAGCCCTCCAAGTTAAACACCTTTTGAAAGTAAATGTGGCAGAGAAATCATCAACCTAATAAGGAATTTATGAGTGAGGTTCTAGGTGAAGGTCCTAGGTTTTGGGTGAAGGTCCTAGGTTCTAGGTAAAGGTCTAGGTTAAAAATGAGAATCCTGAGAGGCTGAGGGAGATAGGATTATAATTTCAAAATCTAGACACTGATACAAAAATCATCTCACATTTTACTGGCTTTTTGCAGGGAGGGGACACGCAAAAGGGAGATAGTGCCACTGATCTGGAGGAAGCTAAAATTGAGACGCTGGGCTACTTTTGGAGACCTTGTAGAAATTTCTAGTTCCTGGAGGATTTGGGGAAATAATAGCAAAATATTCTCAAAATAAACCTTGAGAATAATAGTGAGTTCTTTATTTCTGTTATTCTTTATTTACCTTATTGCCGCCCCATACTCTGTTGGGTGGCTAAATAAAGTCAAACCAAATTCTTGATCTACAATTAAATGGATCTGGAGTGGGGGTAGTAAATTCCATCTTCCCTTGCTGTCGAAAGTTCTTTAGTGGTCCAACACTTAGAAAACATAATGAACAGATTTGTTGTTATTATCCTAGACACCAAATATATTTCTCTGAGCAGCAAAAGGATAATCTCACTTTCTGTCTCAAAGTCCCACCCTGTGATCCCACATCTGATAGAATTTCATTGGGTTAGTACATGGGAAAAGTCCTGCTTGTTATTCATTCTGTGCTCAGAAACTTAGTTCTTTCACTCAGTTATCTTCAGCATTTATTTATTTGTAAGTCTTAGAGGCCACCTGACTCCCAAATGACTGTTGGCAGTAACTTACTGGTTGGATCCTGGTACCAGAATTTAATCCTGGTTTTGACAAAGCTCTTTGACTTTTATAGATCAGTGCTGTGACTATAACAATGATGTAAACGTATGCTTTTGTCTTATAAACCCTAGTAAATAAGATTCAGTGAGTAAGCCCCACTGAACCCGGCTTTAAAACATTGATAGTAAATTGCTTTGTAGTCTATATGAATGGGTAAAAAACACTGTTATTGTGCATACTCAAGATGGCTTAAGTCTTGCATACTTGATTATGACTCAGGTAGTTGGCAGAAAATTGCATTCTTGAACATATCTCAGGCTTTCCGTAACATCCAGTTTTGCTGATTCAGATTAAGTCTACAGAATAATGCTAATCATTATGGCAAAAATAGATTCACACTCCATCTATCAAATCGTCTGTCAATTCAGAAATGCATAAGAGGTGATCGCATCTGTGTTGCGGCTTCAGTAAGTTGCTCTGTTTCTTTGAGTGTACTTTGCATTAATTGTATCTTGCATTTGCAATGAATTGAATTTACATTAATATAATGAACTAATTTTAATAATGCGTTTGCATTAATTGTATCCTGCATCTTGCACTTTTGAATGTAAATTAAATTGCTGATTGATTGATTGATTGATTACATGCATTTTACCTCCTCTATTCCTTTGATTCAAGGTGGCTTGTAAAACCATTAAACAATAAAACAGATAAAAATCCATTGGTATCATAGGAATGGGGCTGTGCTCCCTGAGAAGCACCATTTTAACTGACTTCCTGAATGTCATCAATTGGGGAGGCCATCCTAGTTTTGGGAAGAAAGCTGTTCCAACATGAGAGTGCTGCAACTGAGAAGGACATCCGATGGGTTCCCAACCTACTCACAACAGCACCTCCCAGCTAATCCATGCTGACTTGAAATAGATGGTGCTCTACCTTAAGAGTTTTATAGGTGATGGATTCTGCCTGCCAGTCCAGGTGGAGAGAGGATGTCAGCTAAGGGTCCCCATTTATCAGGTGAAAAAGGAGAGGATACAGATTGGGCATTCCCCTTCTCTGGAATAGAAGGAAAGGGTGGATCCCACTCTGATGGCCTTCCAGAGACTTGTTAAGACCTGGCTTTTCCAGAAGGAAATAGAATCATTCCTAGAAATATTGGTTCCAGAATGGAAAAATGTGATGATTACTGATTTTCTTGTATTGGTATTTCCTTTTAATTGTGATCTTCATTTTGCTGTGCTCTGTTTAGAGTCCTACCAGATTCAAGCAATGGATGGATGGATGGATGGATGGATGGATGGATGGATGGATGGCCCACCGTTTGTATTGGGTTAGGAACTTAGTGGCAACCAGAGCAGCTCCCTGAACATAGGTATTATTCTTCTGAAAGTTACCGCTGGTCAGCAGGAGGGCAGTTACATTTTGTACCAATGGTAGCTTCCAGATCATCTTTAAAGTCAGTCCCATGTAAAGCAAATTGCAGTAGTCTAACCAGGAGGCAACAGTGGTATGAATCACTGTTCTCAGTGCCTCCTGGTCCTGGAAAGAACACAAAGCTGGCCAAAGGTTCTCCTGGCTGTGACCTTCACCTGCTGCTCTAGCAAGAGCTGTGTACTTAGGAGAATTCCCAGGGGGTGCACCAGCTGTTTCAAGGGGAGGGCAATAGGTGGAATTCCGTTGGCAACAAAAGGCTTCTGCACAAACAGTAACTCTCTCTTGCTGGGATTCATTGTGAGGCTCTTCCATCCCTTCTGGTTCCTCGCAGTCTCCAGGCACTGGGTCAGCACCACCTTTGCATCTTCTGCTTGGCCTGGAGGAGAGATATCTAACTGGATGTAATCACATATTGATGATACTCATCCTAAATCAGTGGATTCCACTACAGGGATGTTTCAGAGAATAAGGGAAAGCTGAGCCTTAAGGCACCCTATGTTCAAGGACCTAAATATTCCATCTTTACTTCACTGCTTCACTACTCAGAAAGAAGCAGAACCACTGCCTCTGACTCCCACCTCCCATAGGTAGTGCATAAGAATGCCATGATAGATGGTATCAAATCCACTGAGAGGCCCAGTTGGGCATGGAGGAACACGCTACTCCCATCCCAGACTCATTGCATGTTCTCCACAAGAGTGCCTAGTGCAGTCTCCATCCATTGCTCAGGTTTCAACCCCCAAACAGAAGGGAGCCAGATAATTCACTTCTTCCAGGCCCCTGTGTAGTTGTTGCACCCACACCTTTGCTGAAAAGGGGAGATTGAAGACAAGGTAATAGTTGTTCAACACAGCTGGGTTGAGCTTCACCATCACCTCTTTCAAGGCCAGTGACATTACCATCTCTCTCAAGGATGTGTCCATCACCTTCCAAAACAAGTCCCTCATCTCTTCTCTGGCGGTAGATACCAGCTAAGAGAGTTTAAATTTTAATCTTCTCTTGGCCACAATTACTGATTTGAGGTGTGGCCCTCAGCATGACTCCCAATTGGCAAAATGGGCCCTTTTTCCAAAATAAGTTAAGTGTCTCTGCTTTACATGAACCTCAAACTCTGAATTTTTCAGACTCTAGCACTTTGTCTTTACTAGGGTCAATATTGATGATGATAATGATGATGTTGATATCATCATCATCATTAAGGATTTAGGAACTCATTATTGAGGGGGTATGTAGTTAACACAAAAGTATCGACATTTATTAAGTATGGCAAGTCAGCAGTTTACACAGGCAGGGTAAACATATGTTTTCACATCTGGTATCAGTAATATCATCATGATTTTAAAAATGATTTATAGCTCTGTGAACCATAAACTGCCAGCTTTGCTGTAACTCGAAGTTTTTCAGAGATTGAGCAAATTATTGAAAGTATGTTCTAGTGGCAGGCTCAGGGGTGGGGGATGAACACCTACCCCTCCAAGTAATTTACAGGGCTTGCCCTGGAATAGTGCCACAATCGATCATCTGTGGTAAGTACCCTAGAGTAGCTAAGCATTGGTAGATCTTTCCGCAAGACGTTATAAAGGTGGAGGATGTGATTTTGTCCCTATGCAGGTAGAAGACAAAATGTAGGTCTTCCCACAGAGTTCTAGGGTGCTCCCCTCTTTGGGGTTGTTCTGCCAGGGCAAGACTGAAAAATTGAAAAATTCGCTACTTTGCCTGAATTACAATCCCTTTGGGACATGCAAGTCCTTTGAAAAGTTGCTTTGGACTGTGTCCAAAACATCCCACCTTAAATCCTTAAAACACCTGTGCTACTACACCTGTGCTCTTTCGGAAGCCGTTCTTGGCTATTTCTGCGTGCCCATCTCTTTCACTTCACACAGACCCGAGCTAACCTTTTGCCCCATGTCAAAAGTCTACTAGCTTTCCTTCATCAAGAATGCTCAGGGTCTAACCCAGGAAAAATGAGAAAGGGTCCAGATGCTTTGTCTGCACTCCCTGCTTTGAAAAGATTCACATTCTGTCAAAACAGACACAGAGACATTTTTGTGGGTACTGAAAAGGGCTGCAAAAATAAAAGTGGGCAAGCTGTTTTAGAGTTGCAGTTACAGCAGTACTGTACTTGGCTGGCCATGGCTGGGAATTCAGGAGTGGTGAATTTTGAAATTGATTCCTAGTATAACTTGCTGGAGAAAATCTATCTATGTGGTCACTAGGAGTCAAAAACAACTTGATGGCACATCATCAGTCAATCAAAGTCTAACTTGCAGCCCTGGGATGGATGGATGGATGGATGGATGGATGGATGGATGGATGGATGGATGGATGGATGGATTTATTATTATTATTATTATTATTAT